GTAGCTGTGCAGTTTGGCGAGAAAAGGAGGGCACCAATTCTGATTCAGTTCAAAGCAAATAATGGCAAGAGGCTAAGGACCCAATGACAAATTTTGCTGGCATGCAGTTTCGCTCCCGTGTCGCATTCTTTGGATAGTTCAGGAAATCCGACTTCTTAGCTTTGCATCGATGACTACCGTTCAGGATTGCGGCCTAAGCCCCAACCGATGAGGAATGCTGCTAGGATGGAGCCGGAAACACCTAGGTAAACATGCATGCCATCGCCCATAACACCGCCCCGAGTGGGCCTTGGGAAAGGAGGGGATGTCGTGGGCGGGGGGTGCCTTGAACGCTTTGCCTCCATCTGACGAACTTTGGCACCGATTTGATGCGGGTCGTGAACATCGTCCGGCACGCCTTTGTGCCTTTTGTTTTGTTGGGGAGTCGGAGATGCACTTCACGACTTATTCTTTTCTCCAGGGTCCTTCCTACGCCCAAGCGTTTGTGTGTCATTGATCTGTGTGATCAAGTGCTTCGCTGGACCTTTTTTTCCGTGCCCCATCAATCGAAGATTCCATCTTCGGAGTTCAAAGTGAACACCGGTGCCGGAGGTCAAAGTTCTAGAGTCTCTTGTTCAGATCATGGGGCGTGCCAACAGTCCAAGGCTCCATCCTCGGAGTTCAAAGTTATAAGAGTTCTGAATTTTAACCCATGCCCGCTCCATCAATCCAAGTTCCATCCTCGGAGTTCTGCAGCGGGGGCGGGATTCTTCTTGGGTATTGCATTTTTTTTGTTGATTTGTTTGTTTTTTTTTGGTTTTCGCTTTAGTGGGTACGTGAGTCCACCGGTACATCATAAATCTTAAACATGCCCCCTCATTTGACGACACCGGTTCATCATATATCTTAAGCACGCCCCCTCGCTTGGCGATTCCGGTTGAGGGGGCATGTTCAAGAGATATAATGAGCCGGGATTGCCAATCAAGTGGGCAGCATGTTAAAGATGTATGATGAACCGTTACTTGGAGTACCGCCAAATGAGGGGGCGTGTTTAACATGTATGGTGAACCGATATCGCCAATCGAGGACGCGTGTTTAAGATAAAAGACGAACGGAATCGCCAAATGAGGCGGCTTGTTCTGGATAAATGATTTTCCGGAATCGCCAAATGAGGGGGCGTGTGTAACATATATATGCTGAACCGAATCGTCAAACCAGGGCGGGTGTTCAAAATATGATGAACCGCCAGTCCCCTTGGCGTTGCGTTAGCAAATTGGGGGAGGCTGCGCCCCCCCAATCCCCCCGCTTGCTGAAGCCCTGTGAACGTGCTTTGGTGAACGTCGTACCGTCAAGAACGCTATTTCGCCATGTGCGATTTCAAATCAAGCACATAACTCGTATGAGGCCTTGCAAAGCCCGTCTTAAAGGCCCAACTCTTGTGCTTTCTCTTTGGACCGCGCGAGCTTGCTTTAAAGACCATGGTGCCATCAAGAACGTAAACCCACAAAGCCGAGACGCCGAGAGCCTGAACTGGCACGGAAGGCAACCGGGTAGACTGGCAGGTCGGCCCGTCGGATTTACAGACTGAGTGACCGATCGACAGCCGAAGACCAGTAGGCCGAAAACCAACAAAATTCACCAAGAAAGACTTCGAGTACAGCCTCAGTTGTCGCCATCCCTGTGACTCATGCAAGATTTGTATCTCCATCGAACCGAAAACCAAAAAAGTATCAAACAAAAACTTCAAAAGTATCTGAACCCAGCAGCGGGCGCCCCATGAGTCCAACGCTCCACCCTCGGAGGCCCCATCAGTTCATGGCTTTTGGTTTCTCAAAGTCCTGAAAACATGGAAGGGGGCTCGTCAGTCTCAGAGTCAATCCTCGGAGTTCAAGGCCCATCGTCCAGGGCTTTACCCGCGGCTCAAAACCAGTTCTGATTGGATAACCAAGGGCACCGACATCTGTCCAAGGCTTTGTCGTATCTTCGGAGTTGCAAGCTTATAAGAGCTCAAGATATGTCAAAGTTCTGATTTTGACATTTGCGATGCCCATCAGTCCAAGGCTCCACCAACGGATTCCGAGGTTTCCAAGAGTTTTGTTTTTGAAATCATGGGCGTGCCAACGTTCCAAACTCCATCCTCGGTCAAGGCCTAGAAGACTTCTGATGTTTGAGTAATGGGCGCCCATGGGCGCCCCACCAGTCCAAGGTTTCATCCTCGGAGTGTGCTTTGAGAGTTCTGCTTTTAAAATCAAGGGAGCCCCCATCAGTCCAAGGCTCCAGCAGGCTGCGTCCTCGGAGTTCAAGCCTTTATGAGCTTGGATTGTCGAACAATGGGTGCCCGGAATTTCCATCCTCGGAGTTCAAAATGGGTCCTGATTTAAATTAGGGGCGCGGGAGGTCAAAGCTCCAAGAGCCGTTTTTTTAAAGTCATGGGCGCCCCATCAATCCAGGGCTCCATCCTCGGAGTTCCAGGCTGCGGGGGTTCTGGTTAATCAAGGTGTCAATCCAACTTCGTCCTCGGAGTTCGTTTGTAAACCTGGAAAAGTCTTGTTTTTTCAGCAATTCAATGGGCAACCCATCAGTCCAAGGCTCCATCCTCGGAGTGCAAGGTTTCTACAGGTTCTATGGTAAGAGCTCTGATGCAGAAATCGCGGGTTGCAAGGTTCAAAGAGTTCTGTTCTGATAATGAAAATGTTAAACTCACGGCCGCTCGCTGAATCTATAGTTCCATTGTTGGAGCTCAATAAAGTGACTTAAAAAGCAGGGACACCATGTCAGTCCAAGGCTCCATCCTGGAGTTCAAGAGTTCAAAGAGTTCTGATTTAAAGTCGGGGGCGCCGCACACCTGGAATGCCCTCGTTAAGGGTGCATGGTCCTGCTCGAAAAATTCACGTTCCAAGATTTCGATACGTTTGCATCCATAGTATCAACTACTTGGAGATGGTAGTGGGGCTATCACTCTTTTTGATACACCCCGACAGCTTTGGTGTGACTTGCATTCAGTGAATGTGAGCAGATTTTCGGCGTCCGGCTAGGGGCAGACCGAATTTTTACGCTTCTTTGATTTCGAGTTCCGAACTTCCGGCACATTTCCGGCGTCAGGCTGTGGGCAGACCGACTTTGAGCTTCAGTGAATTTGCGCAACGAATTTGGGCGTCAATCGCATTTTCGGCATCAGGCTGGGGGCAGACCGAATTTGAGCTTCATTGAATTTGAGCGTCCGATTTCGGCGTCAGGCGCATTTTCGGATTCAGTCTGGCGATGGACCGAACTTAAGCTTCGAGCGACGAATTTCAACATTTTTTCGGTGTCAGGCACCGGGCCGACTGGAGGCCTTTGCAGAGCCGAGGTAGTCCCATGCGTTCGGATAGGTTTCGATGCCGAAGAAGGGGAACGTTTGCGTTTCTATGGTGGATAGAATCCTGGCGTGAGCGCCGAATTTACGCGCCACCACCATTTTAGACTTCAGCCGGACTGCATATCGGTGCCGAATTTGAATGACAGCCGAATTTCGGCTTCAGCCGGGCCCGCCCGAGTTTAGGCGCCGAGTTTAAAGCTCCAGAATTTAAATGGGGACCGTCCCGCTTCCGCGGGTCCCTGTACATGTGAATACTGGCTAAGCTCACTCATGCTTGTTGCCTGAGGCCTCCAAATTCCGAATCCTGCTGGAGGCCTGCAGCATCCGGTGTTTGCGAATTTCGGAAGCAGCATGCCGATTTGACATAGTTGTCAGACTCTGACAAAATAACGGTACATGACGATGACACAGAATGGATACTTAAAAGCCTATAGCTTGCTAGCGTCTTGCATAATTCTGCTTACGTGCCATCTTTGCATGTGCGCGTGGAAGGGATTGTTTTGATGTCGGACGGATAGAGAGATTCATTTTGCATTTGTGTTTATGTTTTCGGCCTGCTTCGCAAATGCTCGTTCCTGCGGACAAGCAGTTCACCAACAATCTGGTCGAGTGAGAAGTCGCAAATATGGCATGCTTCTTGCTCGTCCGTCTGTTATCATCTGCTATCGGCCTGGTCTCAAGTCGTGTGCGTTCCGAGCTACCAAAAACACGTTTGAACCTGTGGCATCGTTTCGGAAGAAACTTCGAAGCGCAAAATCGGCGTGGCTTCGCGTGATCGAACACTGCCTAAGCTTCCTTGGCACGTCGAATTTGGTTGGGTTTCCTTGTGCTATCATTGGGTCCCAGATCTAATTTCGAGGGACAATGTGTTTCTTCACATCTAGGTCGTTTCTCTTGCGAAAACGGTCGTCGGCGATCGGCTTTGCTTGATTCATTTCCAGACAATCATCACCGAATATCGCGCATCCGTTTTGATGTCGGGCGTCAGCTTTCTGGACACCAATGATGCAAAGCTCAATTTCACTTCGTTTTCTTCCAGCAGTGGCAGTTACGGCAGCGACGACATGTACTAATATAGAGCATATGAAACTAGACGAGGCCCCTTATGCGCGTGGCAACGGGGTGCAAACTCCTACAGCTGTTGGTCGCGAGTAACGCGTTGGGATGTAGCTTAGAACTGCCCGCGTGAACCTGGATCAAGTGGTAGCATCAGAATCCATGCAATCGATAACATGCTCAAGCTAAAGTCGTGTCTGCACCGGAAGGTCGTTGTGCGCTCGGGTGTGCTGCTTACATAGCGATGTTGTAAGAGACTCAACCTTCGACAGCTTTGATGAAAAGCGCCACGGGCTCGGGCCAGAATACCGGCATATCCGGCGTCACCACGGGACAGAAGCAAATGCACAACGCAATGTTGGCCAAGCAAAAGATTCGTTTCGAAATTGGCACAGAAGACGGTCGCGCCGATCTGGACAGGACGCCAAGCTGAGGACCTGGCTTTATTGTATGTTTGGACGGCTGGGGCTGCTGTCCTTGGCTGGTCAAGTGCGTTACAAAATCCGTGAGTAGCTGATCTTGGCGCTGAGTTTGCTCTTGTGCTTTGGCAGCTTCTTGGGGGCCGGGCCAGCATGAGTGTGCAAGTGCTGCCTTGCGGAATCGGAACAAAAGGGATGTTGGCAGAGGAAAACGACAGCATCAAGAAGTTGCACAGCATTCAAACCATTGAAACATGGACGTCGGTTTCGTGCATTTTGTCGAACGCCAGGCCGAATCGCTTTGTCCCTGGCTGTTAGCACAGCTGTTGTAGCAGCTTGTTGGAATCAAGAAAGCGGGGATTGGACGAACATGCACGCACCGTTCATAAATGTTTCTAAAACCTGGACACATTCGCTCGCCTTGCGCTCTTGGCGCCGCTCCCGGTAATTGGAAGAGATACAGTTGCGTTTGCCGCTGTCGCAAAGCTTGCCAGGAGCTGCAACTGCCGCCTCGAACCCGATGCAGCTTCGTGTTCGAGTTCAAGGCTTGTTGAAAGGCTTGGGAAGCAAAGATGCTGTCTAGCGCAGGTCACTGGCCACGAAGTCGAGCAACTCTTGCAGCGCTTTTGTGCCGAGCACCCAGATCGTCATGAGGACTGTCCTTGGTACAGTGAAGTGCAGCGATGTATGTCCTTGGGCCTTACATGGCCTTACGAATCAGTGAGGTTCGCCGATTGTCGCTGATGCCACAGGAAGACAAGGATGCCCCGTAGTGGATCATGACATGCGCTGCAGCAACTCTGCAGCCAGAAAAACCGGCAGCTTGTGTGACCGTGAAAGGATGGAGCTGGCCAGGCGCAGCGCAGCTGGAAAGCAGTGACCTTGTATCAAGATTCAGAAAAGTATGGAAGAAGTATAGTTGCCTGACTAAGTGGAAAACGTTTGAGGCCTTCCCCGAGTCTGGCCTCCAGGTGTTGTGTTTGCGAAGGCTGCTCGGGCACTGCCTCGAGCGACGCATCATTTTCTGCGGTTCTACACTACAGCCATCCAGCGCTGACCAGTTGTTCGGACGAAATCATCCAGTCGTTCTTTGCCGTGAGCCCTCGATTACGCAGTCTTCAATTGGCAGGGCACCTACCGCAACTTGTTTTCATTTCTTTCTGAAAGGCGAAGAGTCCAGCAAACGTGCCTCTCCCGCAATACAAACCCTCAGCATAGCGAAAGCGTGCAGAAGCCAGGAAGTGGTTCAAGGCCTGATGGTGAGTGAGGAGAACGGGGACTGCAGGGAAGGCCCGGAGGGTCACAGCCACTCCTGGCCCTGGCGCTGGCCTTGGGCGACATGCGGCGGCTCTCTTCACAGAGCTCCGGGTCAAGGACTCAAGGAGCAGGCAGGCGTCCTCAGCACTGCCACGAGCCTCGCTCAACAGAAGAAGCAGACGCTTCCAAAGTACACCTAAGTCCAGCGGCTCGGGGAAATCGAATTCAGATCAGGGCTGCCGATGTCCGGCTCGATGTCCGCGGTTTTGCCCACCCGACGGTACATCCTCCGCACGGCTCCTCTTATGCACGCGAGGTAGTCCGGTTCCGCAAGAGCGCCCGCAGGATGTCCAGCCGATCGGAGAAGGGTCAGGGTGGGTCAGGTTGCTGAAATAAAGCGCAAGGCCCAAACATTGCCCGTGCATGGCGCTGGCGCTTCGTGCAGAGACCTGCGCTGCGGTCCCCCACGCACCCGCACCAAAAAGACGGTGGATCGCCAACAGGAGCCTTCTCTTTGCAAGATAAATGCAACCCATCCGGACCCCAAGATGCCAGCGGCAGGGACCAAACTGCAAGGTGTCACATTTTGTCACATGTCGCCCACTCCCAGAGTTTAAGCTACTTGTATCTCCAAAGTCGCACGTGCTTCTCACTTCTTGTCGGAGGTTCTGCAAAAGAACCTTGTAGTCTTTTCTTGCCTGAGGTTTTACGTTTCTCAAGTCAGAGAAGCTGACAATATCTGACAGGAGAGTCTGCACGTGATGGCCCAACCCATGAGCATTCACAAAAATCCAAGGGTCTGATGACAAGCGGAGTCTGCAGAGGCAGCGATATGCCTGTGACGCCGAGGTCGACAGCAGGTTGCAAAGCATGACGTCGGCGATTTCGCAACGATTGAGCAGCCTGAGCTTGACCGGGGCAAGCTCAGCATGTTCTCTCTTTCGAGCTTCGACGTTTGACAAACCGAAAATGGCAGATCACGAGTTTGCCCGACGAGCAGTTGTCGAAGCTGATCGCCAGCTGTCAAAACCTTCGGCGCAGTCCTCGTGCCGCCATGTGTCATGCCATGGGTCTTGAGAGTCAAAGTATGACTTTTGAGGTCTCTGTACATTGCCAAATGCCATGTTTCTCACATTTCCTTTGCTTTGTCGAACCTGGAGCTTCTTTCTGCGCTTAGCTCAGAACTGAAGCTGGTTCAGTCGCTTGTTTAGGGACGGAGCTAGTTGCCGGATTAGGTGACGCACTGCCAGCAACTGACGGAGCGGTTGCTGCGCCGCTGGCCGTGCATGCCGAAGTGATGGAACTGGTGACGACTTGGGCAGGACCAGTGTGCTACTGAGATCTTGTCTCCGGTGAATAACCCCCGCGTGCACCTGAGTGCTTCCTGGATATAAGTCTGCGCCTCCTTGCCAAAATCTTCGAGGTCTTCGTTTCGTGGACCTCTCGGAGTGTCAAAGTCTGACAGCTCCAACGGCCCGAAACCCTCGAACCCGTGGTATGCCATTAGTGTGCGGGGTGCGGCACAGGTCGAGCACCCGCAGATGGAGATCGCATGGCTGATGCACTGCCCGCAACTCACCGGGCAGGCTGTTACTAAATACGACGGCCCTTGCCTGCACCTTTCCACTGACGACTTTGGAGGTGGTCGCGGCCATGTCGGGTTCTCGGTCCAAGTTGATGTGGCCGTGCTCAAGACTGAGACGGCAGGTTCCGGAGTTGTACAGCGCTGACCGCAGTGAACCTGGTGCCTGCCACTTGTTCGTGCCCCCTCTTTGCATTCACAATTTCTACATGCAGTGTTGTGTAGTTCTGTACATGTCAGAATCAGATTTTGCAGCGGCGGCCTTTTCAGCTCAAGTCCGCCCAGTCGCTGTGCGCAGTGGCTGTAGCGAAGGTGCTACCTGACCCGAGATTCGTTGGGCTAGTCGGCTAGTCCTCAAGGTTGAGTTGGTTGTGACAGGCCTAGCATGTACAGAGGTACGATTGGTTCTTCCCTCACCAGGTTCACGGGGCCTGACAGGTGGACATACCATGGCTTGCCCGACTGCGTTGCTGGCTACTCTCAGCCCCTGTCTTATCGGCCAAGATTTCCCCAAAAGATCTGCACTGCTCCAGCGTGCTGTAGTCGGTTGTTGCAAGTTTCTCGCTACAAGCTGCGTGCCCAAGGCCTGTTCGTGCTGGCCGACACAAGCTTTGTGCCATTTGCTGGAGTCGAGGCATCGCATCTAGACCTGTCGCTTTGGGTTCGAAGTGTGCGAAGAGGAGCTGAAGCCGCATCGTATCCACGAGCACTGCGACGAGTCCACTATCAGCGAGGAGGGCACTTGGCCCACTCCCAAAAGCTTGCATTTGGGTTTGCCATGGTTTGCAGCTGTGTGCAGGATGGCTACCGGTGGTGTTCTCGATCTTTCAGGAAGCGTCTTGAGGACTGGCCGTTGCATGGAGCGGGGCATGATGCTGACTCGCACGACCTGGCAAGCACGCCTTGTTTCTTACAGCTATCTCCCGGACTCCAGAGGCCCAAGAGGTTCCGAGTTCAACTTGGGTTGCCCAGCTATTTGGTTCAGCTCGGGAGGAATTTGTTCGTCGTCGGAGGGTCGGATGGGTCCCAACACTTTGGGTATCCTCAGACCCGCCAAGACTCCCTTCGAGACACCAGGAAGTGCCAGGATGCAGGGGTCAATGAAGATGTTGGAAAGCTTCTTTCGAAGGCTTTCACCACCACCTGGGCTTCGCATCGAAGAGGTAGATTTCGATTCCCTTCCCCTGGTTCACATGTTCGTTTTTTTTTTTTTTTTTACTTCGGTTGTTCGTAAACTCCATCCCCACATTTCTTCCCTTCGATCTCTCTTCTCCGAAACGTGCACGCGCCTGCCTTTGCACACGTACCGACATCTAGTTACAGTTGACGGCAACTAAAATGATTACAAGTATCAGTATTGCTTAGCAGTGCTGCACCAAGTAGTACTGGACTCCACGGCAACAACGACAACCAGGCAGACGAGGAGGACGAGGAGGACGACTGTAGCGACAATAACATCAATGGCCGTGGCCATGACAACACAAGAGCAACAGTGTTTTTCCCGTCTCTTGTATGGTGCTGGACGCTGGCCTTTGGTGCGGTGCGACGTCCCCACGCGCGGGGACGCGGCAGACGTGGCCTTAAGGCACTTCGCCTAGGCATCCGCCCCGGCCCGACGACTGAGGGATTGCGGAAGACGACCGGCAGATGCAGGAACGCGGGACCTTCAACTGACGACTTCTGGCCGAGAGGGCTTTTAGCCAGCAGAGTCTCGAAGATTTGGGTGACTTCGGCGGCAGGCCTTCAACGAAGACCCGAACTTGCACCTAGTCTTCGCAGCGCACCTTCCGAGGCCCTCAGCGAAAATATCCTGATCTAGAGCATCCAGAGGCACAGGACCCGAAGAGCTCCAAAAGAGATCGAAGAAGGCCGCTTCTTCAGGAGGAACGCCTCCTGCTCGAAGTGCGATGCTACGGACTTCAGAGCTTGCTCCAAATCGGCCCGCAAGGTCGACATTTGTGACATAGGATAGCTTGGGTTCTGTCGCTGCTATGTTTGTCGGTCATGGTGCGTAATGCTACGGCCAATGCGGCGCGAAGGGATGGTTAATTGAAGTCGGTACTGGGTTCGAGCTGTGGACAGATCGCATTTCGCCGATTGACCAGTCAAAATGCGCACTGGCCGTCTTTGCATGTTGAAGGGTGGAGAGTTGGGCAGTGTGGGTGCTTCCAACCGGTTTATTTGTAGGTGTCGGCTAGAACACAGGAACACTGCGGGTTTGACTCAAAAGCTTGCTTTCACAAACTGGACGTTGCGTGACCTCCGTTTCACATGTCCACGAACGTGCGAGCATTCCGAGCAGAGAATGCACCGCGAAGCCACAACAGACCGCCAAATTTGTCCACGGCATGCGGATCCGAATAAAGTAGGCTGACCGCAGGAACATTAGCCGGAGATCAGCCAGTTGATCTCACCAGGTTCCGAATCGTGAAAGTTCTGCGACTGCCAAGAGCATGGATGTGTAGTTTTGCAGGGTTGTGGAGCATACCACCGCGTTGGAAAGCTTCATGCTATGCCGTTGTGCGCAGCATGTGTGAGTCCCGAAGTTGCCCAGTCTAGGAGGTTCAGTCACGAAAGTTCGGCAGGATGGCGCCGATGTGGAACTGAGTTGGTCGATGCATGTCAACCCAGATTCCATCTTGTCCTTAGACACAGAGGCCGGGCTTCCGAACCTTGTCAGTTCAACAGAGAAAACACTGTTTTCCGAAGGCCGAACATGGTGTCAGAATGGTTCGATGTTCTCCAGGTCAGCCGGAGCCTATGCTTGCAGCAAAATATGATCGTCATGTGCAATTCACAACAAACACTTCATGCTCCACCTTGCCCCAGTTGAAGCAGCCCGGCTGCATTGGTGCCGTCATGATCGAACGTGGGATTTATATTCTTATGAATTTTTTTTTTTTTTTTTTTGTCGGGTGGTGGTGTTTCGCACGTGTGCGTGTAGGAAGTAGGAAGAAGCTCTCGCTGTCGACTGCCGAAGCTTTCGGCTCGACCGTTTGCGACTTCTTTGCTCTCCCCCGCCACCGCTGCCGCCGCGACTTCGGCGACCTTGCCGCCGATTTCGCCATGGCGGCTGGCTCGGATTTGGTGGGGACGCCGATGCCAACGACTGCGGTGTCTATATACCACACCGCACCCACGACGACAGCCCCCTCGACCATTGCGTCGGGGGGGAAGGGAAAGCACCCCAATCCGCCCATGTCGGGCGCAGTGTTCCTCGGTCATGAGCCGACGGAGGGGGTGGTCCAAATGGACCCCATCCCTTTCGACAACTGCTGCCAACATCAACCTGGCGATGGACGCCATCGATTTCGACATGTTGATGGACGCGGCCTTGGAGGCATGATCAAGAGAGATGCCGATCGGGGCGGTGATGGCTCCGGCTCGTCGTCTTCTGACCCGCCGGGCCCCTGGCGCTTGGGACGTGGCTGTCGGGGTTGTCCGACATGGAGCTGGACACGGCTTGCGACCTCGTGCCCAACTCCGCCATCAACCGCTTCTACGCTTCTTTCGCACGGCGATGAGGCGGGTCGCCCGGGAGCAGGGCATGAAGATCCTCCCGAAGAACGACATCGACCCGAACTCCGGCTCGGGTGTGCTGGGCATTCAGGGGGAGCCCCCAGCTTGCTCAGAGCGTCGAGACCCAAAGGGCGAGCTGTTTCCGCCCCCATCAGCGACGATGAGCCGGTGAGGACACCACGGCCCTCGAGGACTCTGCAAAACGCCGTCCGCACGGTACTGGGCCTACCGCAGCTTCATGCAGACACTTCCTGCGACCGGGCACAGTCTTCGTTCTTATGTATATGTGCTGGAGATCCTCGCCCATGCCCTCCCGCTCGTCACTTTCGCCAGGTTCCCGCCACATTGGATCGCATTCATCGACAAAGTGGCAGGCCAGTTTGTGCTTTCGAAAGGGTACGGCAAGGACCCGTCTGTTAAATCCTTGCGGCCTCTTGGCGTGGCTTGCCGACTTCTACTGTGTCCCGTCGTTGGAAGCCAACATCTCGACGCCGGCTCTCGGGGAGATGATTCCCTTGCGGCCCTTACTCGCCAGGAGGGCTGGGTTCGGGCCCACACGGCAACACAGACATCAACTTCGCCATAGCGTCTTGGCAGAGTGCCGTCGCCTTGTTGGTGGCGGGCGCGCCGCGGGCACCGGTTTTTGGGGGCAGTGGGTCTGGCCGGGCGCTGTTCGCGCTTCGACTAAAAGAGGGTATCACCGCGTGGTAGATGCTGGCTCACACGTCATGAGCATTCGAGTCTATTGTGTGGTGCACGTGTTCGTGTAGGAACAAGTCGTCGCCACCTTGTGGTTTTACACGTTACGATTTCGCGGCCGTCATCCGCCAATCGGGCGGTGACCGGAGGGGCGCGGCGCAGAAGTGCGCACCGCGGCACCGGTACCGGTTTTTGGGGGTGGAGTGTCCGGGGTCCGGCCGGGCGCTGTTGGCGCTGCGAAAGAAGGTGTCGCAGCCTAGTAGATTTTGGCTAGCACATCGTTAGCATTCGAGCTTGTTGTTGTTGTGGTGGTGGTGGTGGTGCTGGTGCTGGTGCTGGTGCTGGTGCTGCTGCTGCTGCTGCTGCTGCTGCTGCTGCTGCTGCTGCTGCTGCTGCTGCTGCTGCTGCTGCTGCTGCCGGTGCTGCTGCTGCTG